TAAGTCTCTGGGATACAGATGCTATGTAAACATTTGACTACATATTTGAGGTTTCACTAATTCTACATCTGACTATTTACAAAGAGCTTCTCCTTTCTTACGGACAACTAGTAAACAGGTTATTTTGATCATTAACTATTTCTGTTATTTTTCTTAATATTTTACTGTCATTGTATTTCAGTATTTTGCCATTATTTATTTAATGACTGACATTAAGTATATACATAACTTGCTGAATATTATATTTTTATGCTAGAGTACGTTAGATAACCCAGAAACCAGGCACATCTTTATTCTCAAGGAACTTACAGTCTACATGTATAGTACACAGAATGTACATTAAAAGTTTTTAAAACATCTGTAAGCAAATTTTTAAAGAAAACTGGAGTAAGAGAAGAACAGAACTCAAACAAGAGCCTTCAGGAACTTAGTAGTATTTAAGGGGTAGACATATAAGAAAAGTGTCAAAGGATAATCAGAAAAGTCCAGTAGACAGAAAAATTGGGAGATGGGGGAGAGACTTATAAAAGGAAAGCTATGAATATGATGTGGAAAGGTGAGAATTTGGCTCTTCAGAAGACGAGTGTTTGAGTGAGTAGTTTGGAGGGAGTAAATGAGGCAGAAGCATGATTGCAGTGTATATCAGTGATAAGTAAGCGAAGACATGAAGATTGACTGTTTTTTCAAACAAGGATGATAGGTTAAGAGTGCTAGTTCTTTTTATTTTTTAATCTGAGATTGCCTTAGGAAAGTTGTTTGGCTAAGGGAAGGGGCTCTAAGAGGAGAGTTTGATGTAGTAAAAATCTAGAAACTGGAGAAGTACGCTAGTCAGTCCAGGAGTGGATGTGATTGGAAGCACAGGTTGGAGGGAATGAGTGGCTTTGAAGAAAAGGACACACTGCTTCCTTTTAGAAAGGAGAAGAGTGAATGGTGGGGAGAAGTATGGGGAAGTTTGTAGGTGTTGGAGAAGAAAGTTAAGAAATTTTTGTTCATTTTTTCTGTATGTCAGTGTCATGTGTTGGAAGAAAAAGATATGGGTGTTTAAAGGGGATTTAAGGAAAATTAGTAAGGATCTGGAATAATCTTTGTGAGAAAGTAGAGGAGTGACTGATGAGTGGTAGTAAAAGCAGTTTTGAGCAGCACTAGGGCCATAGCTGAGGTGGAAGACCCTGAAAGTGTAGAAGCATCATCTCAGTTTGATATTTTGCTAATGATACTTTTTTATTTGAATTCTCCATTTTCCCTCCTGTTTTTCTTTCACAGGTTCATGAGTCCTTGCAAGCCATGGGGAGTAGTGCTGATAGTTGTGACAGTGAGACCACAGTCACGTCATTTGGTGAAGACCTTGTTACACCTACAGCACAAGACCAGCCTTATTTTAATGAATCAGAAGAAGAGTTTCTTGTCCCTCTTCGGAAGGGGCGAGAGAAGGCAGCAGCAGCTGCTGAAAAGAGAAGGTCAGATAGCCAGGATCTCCCCCAGAGTGAGACTATTGAGCACACTGGAAGTAAACAGTCTACCTGTAGTTCAGGGGTCCACCTTACTGAAATTATTGAAATGGAAGAGGTTTTCTCTTCAGCCCAGCCAGTGGAGCTGCTGAGGGAAGCAAGTGCTGAGAGTGATGGGGACAAAAGCAGTGAATGTGAGTTTGCCCACTACGCCACACACCATATTCTCACCTCACTGGCGTCTCTTGAAGCTAAATGCAGTGAGAAGGGCTTGGAAACTTCAACTGGGCCTCCCTCTTCTGTGGACAGAGTTAATACAGCTTTGCAAAGAGCACAAATGAAGGTTTGCAGTCTGTCTAATCAAAGAGTAGGGCGTAGCTTGATAAAATCAAAAGATCTATTAAAAAAGAGGTACTTACTTACAAAAGCTGGCTATCCTCTGAGAAGGTCTCAGTCTTTACCAACCACCTTACTAAACCCAGTAAGGGTTGTGTCTTCTGTCAATGTTCGGTTGTCTCCAGGAAAAGAGACCAGATGCAGTCCACCTTCCTTCACCTATAAATATACACCTGAAGAGGAACAGAAGTTAGAGGTAATTGAGCACGATGGCCAGTCTTTAGTTAAGTCCACTCTTTTCATCTCTCCATCATCTGTGAAAGAATCAGCTCCTCTGAGTGAGGCAAACCGGTTGGAAGAATGCCATCATCAAAGGACTCCTACCTGTTCGTTGTGTGCTCTGGCACCGCTGTCTCAGTCCACCTGCTCCCTTCACTCTGTCCACTCGGAGTGGCAGGAAAGGCCCCTGTGTGAGCACATGAGAACTCTGAGCTCTCACAGTGTTCCCAACATATCAGGTGCCACCTGCAGTGCCTTCAGCCCCCCTTTTGGGTGTCCTTACTCACATAGACATGCTGCCCATCCTTACCGAGTGTGCTCTGTGAACCCTCCTTCTGCCATCGAGATGCAGTTGCGAAGAGTGTTGCACGATATTAGAAACTCACTACAGAATCTTTCACAGGTATGATAAAAAGTACATCTTTAACTTTTTATTGACATGAGCACCTCTTAATTCGCTGAGAAGTGCAGACCCATCAGGCATTCAACTGGGCCTCCCTCTTCTGTGGACAGAGTTAATACAGCTTTGCAAAGAGCACAAATGAAGGTTTGCAGTCTGTCTAATCAAAGAGTAGGGCGTAGCTTGATAAAATCAAAAGATCTATTAAAAAAGAGGTACTTACTTACAAAAGCTGGCTATCCTCTGAGAAGGTCTCAGTCTTTACCAACCACCTTACTAAACCCAGTAAGGGTTGTGTCTTCTGTCAATGTTCGGTTGTCTCCAGGAAAAGAGACCAGATGCAGTCCACCTTCCTTCACCTATAAATATACACCTGAAGAGGAACAGAAGTTAGAGGTAATTGAGCACGATGGCCAGTCTTTAGTTAAGTCCACTCTTTTCATCTCTCCATCATCTGTGAAAGAATCAGCTCCTCTGAGTGAGGCAAACCGGTTGGAAGAATGCCATCATCAAAGGACTCCTACCTGTTCGTTGTGTGCTCTGGCACCGCTGTCTCAGTCCACCTGCTCCCTTCACTCTGTCCACTCGGAGTGGCAGGAAAGGCCCCTGTGTGAGCACATGAGAACTCTGAGCTCTCACAGTGTTCCCAACATATCAGGTGCCACCTGCAGTGCCTTCAGCCCCCCTTTTGGGTGTCCTTACTCACATAGACATGCTGCCCATCCTTACCGAGTGTGCTCTGTGAACCCTCCTTCTGCCATCGAGATGCAGTTGCGAAGAGTGTTGCACGATATTAGAAACTCACTACAGAATCTTTCACAGGTATGATAAAAAGTACATCTTTAACTTTTTATTGACATGAGCACCTCTTAATTCGCTGAGAAGTGCAGACCCATCAGGCATGAAGCACCTCAGCTTCATCTCTTACATGCTTACACTTGCTTGTACCTGCCCTCTTCCTGTACTCTTCCCTCCCATCTCAAAGGAAAAGCTGTAACTAATGCTGAACGAGGTTAATTCTCTGCTCATATCTCCCTCCCTTCTAGAAACGTGATTTTGCTCATGAGGTATCCCCCTTCCTTAGTCTCTCCTTCATTGTCTTTGTCTAAGTCCTTGTTATTAAAGTCTCCCTCTCAAGTGCTGCTCTCCTTTCTCTGCCAGTTGACAGCGTTCACCACCTCTTCGTTTCTAAGTTTCCCTCCCCTGGGCTTCTGTGTCGCCATGTGTTCTGGTTCTGCTCGTAGCTCTCTGACTAAGCTTTCTCTTCATCTACTGACTCCTAATGCTGGTTTCCTGGCACAGAATTAGTCTGCTTCCACTGGGTTTGAAAGACTGAAACTACCCCAGAAGAGAAAAAGATCAGGTAAAGGGTGAATTTGAATGGAAATGGTGTGTGTGTGTGTCTTGTTACCTTTGAAGTCATTGCATTTAGATTTGTTAGTGGGCTGGAAAATAATTTCCAAAATAAAACTTTGAAAGTAAGTAAGTTGTTTTAGTTTTGCCTTTCACATTTCACATTTCCTTTCTAAATCTCTCTGAACTACTTATATTTAGACAATTGAGGAAATGGAAATGATAGAGTAATGTAATGATCAGAGTGTTGAGCAGGAGTTGGGCCTAGAATGTATATAATATATCTCTTATGGTGATGAATAGACAGGATGCCACTTTGAAAGTAAAAACAAATTTAAAATTTTTAATAATAGCAGAATATACCATTTTTTAAATACAGCCTTTATCCTTGTAATAATTGTGTCCTGGTGATCTAACCAGAATGTGGGTGTTTTCTTCTTCCTCCTTACAAAACATAGTTCTTTCTGTGAGCGGGATGCCTAACTTTTAGCTGTGATTATGTAAAGCTGTGGATTCCCAGGGCCTTGTCCACCTACTCACCCTAACGGTGCACCTTTCTTTCTAGGCCAGCTTGTTCTTTTGCTCTAGATATGGTTTTTCTCCTTTTGTGTGTTCCATCAATAATTCAGCTAATTAATGTACCCATCCTCACCCCACCCCACCTCAGCAGACAGATGCTCTTCCTGGCCTGACCTCTGTCTGTCTCTCCATACTCATTCTTTATGTGTGTGCTCCAGCAAAATTGGAGTGCATGTGGGTCTCTAAAAAGGTGTGCATTCCGAGGTGTCTGCTTTTACACATGCCACTTTTTTCTTTACCTGGAATGCTCTGCCCTTGCCTGCCTTTGCCTCACCAAATCCTGTTTACTGTTAGGGCTCAGCTCAGGTGTCACCACTTGTAGAAACACTCACCTAATCTGGATTTTTGTTTTTTTCATAGTACTCCCCCTCCCCACCCCAATATTATAATAACTTTTTTGAACTTTCTACTGTTGCTTAAACTGTGAGAACACTTGAAGGCTGGAAATGTCTTTTATCTTCCTTTTACCTTTATTTTCTTCACTGCCTAAAATAGTGGCAATGCTCTGATATCTAAGGAGAGTGATGATTGCATGCTACTCCTTAGCCAACTCAGTAGTTTCTGTAATCTCAATTACATTGGCTATTGCATCTACATTTTTTAGTTTTTTTGTTTTTCTACTTTCTTAAGGCAAGAGGGAAATCCTGCAAGACATAGATTTCAACTGCATATGTTCTTTTTCCTCCTTCCCTGTCCCAAGTACACTGACTGACTTCTGAAACAGATAGGAATAATGGATAGCATTGGAGACTGATTTTATTTGGTTCCTGCTTACAGTATGAAGTTTTTGTTTGTTTTTGCCTCAAAGAGAAAAATGTAGGCCCCAAATTCCACCTTTTTAACACCATAGATAATTTGGAAGTAGTCTCTTTAACATTGGTTTGTAATCATATTTTCACTCTTTTGAAGTACCCTGTGATGGGAGGGCCTGACCTTGCTGCTGCTCCATATAGTACTCAGAGATCACCCGTCCTACCTCTTCATGAAGTAAGTTCTTAAATCTTTGTGTCACAAAATAATCTGTATGATTGAGAAATACAATTTTGTTATATTATTTTCTAGAATACTTTTCAGGAGCTCCAGGTAATGAGGCGGAGCCTGAATTTGTTCAGAACGCAAATGATGGATTTAGAATTGACAATGCTGCGTCAGCAAACCATGGTTTATCATCATATGACTGAGGAAGAAAGGTGAAAGTTCATTTTGTCTTAATGTAACTCAGAATATTCTTATTTTAAAAAGCACTGTCAACTTTCTTTTTTTAAGGCTGGTTTTATTTCTACTGCCATGTACCCTTTTCTCGTTTGTGAACCAGTGTAAATAAAATTAGGCATAGTGTTTTATAAGTAAACTTCATGGTCCTCAATATATTAAGGAAGGTAGTAGTGGTAATCTATTTTTAGTGTCTGGGGTATGTGTGAGAGAGGGTAGAGAAAGAAAGACCAGTTGTCTTCGTGGCCACGTGTATTGTAGTGGCTGTTGTGCTAAGTAGAGAACTTGGAATTTCAGTGCCTTCTGGTAGATTTTGAGAAAATTATGACTATGAAAACTCCCAAACTGCTTTTTTTCAAACCTGTGCCTATCACCATACCAATAGGTATGAAGTTGATCAGCTCCAGAGTTTGAGAAATTCAGTCCGCATGGAACTCCAGGACTTGGAACTGCAGCTGGAAGAACGGCTGCTGGGCCTGGAGGAGCAGCTTCGCATGCGCGGGCCGTCGCCCTTCCGCCCATCAGCACTTGTGGTATGGTACCTGGCGGGTTATTGGTAGTTCTCACTAAGCAATGTGCCATGTAATTGTGGACAAATGCCTTTATTTGGAAGCACTTATTTTAATGGCATTAGAGGCATGTAGAATGTTTAAACTACCTTTCTTACACATCCATTGAATGTGTAAGTTGTGATTATTTTTTTAAATTTTACTATGTTTAAAAATATATTGAAAATTTTTAATCATAATTTTTAGTAATAGAAAATGACCAACACGAAAGTTTAGGGGTTTTAAAGGAAAAATGATGAATTAACATATGACTAATTTAGGTTTTAATCACTCCAAGTGACTGCAAAGAACACATTCAGACTTTCTTCCCTTTCTTGCCTTCTAATAAATAACTATTCCCTTTAAACCTTTTCTTTATTTTGTATTCTTTTACATTCTTTGTGTTTTATAAGGAATCAAATGAGATCTTTGTAAAGGTAGAAAGCATATATAATCAAGAGAGTAAAAAGAAATACTATTTCTCTTTATTTTGTGTCACTTCATACTTCTGATGTTCGTTTCCATGACATTTGAACTTCCAACAGTAATGTATTCTTTTTTGCCAATATCTTTGCAGTTGCAGAACGTAGTGTTTTAAAATGTTAAAAAATAAAGTTTTCCTCTCTGTTATTTGAACAACATATTTGATTTTGTTAAAAATAAATGGATAGCTACACACATACACAGGTGCACATACATAGTAGAATCAGTAGAATCATAATGTGTGTGTATGTATACACATATAGATGTATAACATAGAATATCATATTGATGAATATCTTTTTCCATAAAAGACTTTGATCCATTATTCTGAGAAATGTGTTGGTGACAGCAGAAAATCAGAACATCTTCTGTGTACCTTTCATCAGAATAATACATTTTATGGGATTCCATGACAATTAAACGTATTTATAAAACACTAGAAATTTGAAAAATTACACACACACACACACACACACATACACACATATATTCTTCTTTTTTCAGGGGATGTGTGGCAGTAGAAGCACCGACAACTTGTCCTGCTCTTCTCCATTGAATGTAATGGAACCAGTAAGCCTCTCTACTTTTGAATCACTGGGGAAGGGAAAGATACAACAGTTCATAAACACAATTTTCCTAGTGTAGATGGCATGTTTCTTATTTTAATATAGAATTTGGTAGGTTAGTTAAATTGATTAGAAGTGAGTTTGGCATTTCTGAAAGTCCATTGCCATCTTAGGCCACTAGAAAGCCAGTTAATTGCAATGGTAATTTATCTTACCATTGAGAAGATAGACTCATCAAAGAAAGGTATTTAATTTGTACTCTGGGGGAAATGTACCTTCACAGTCTGATTCCAGTTCCTTTAGGCAGTTCGATCTGTAAGATGACTGACAAAAGTCTGATTTTTATTATGTTCAAAACAAATTGATTCATTTGGGGGCAAAAGCATTATGAGTAGCTATTTTGTTTTTCATTAGTTATTCTTCCTTGCAAGTAGTTTGGACACATGTGGTATCAAGTAAAATTTCATCCAACTATATATTTCTAGTCAAACATTTTATGGCTTGAACTCACTATGAATTTAAATTATCCATGCTGGTTTTTCAAATGAAATTGAGCAATTACTAAATAAATTAATTAGAATCATATATTTGCAAGTTAAGTGATTTTTGGCAGTAATCAAGTAATCACAACTAGGGTTTTAATCTTAAACTACCTATCTTAGTTTCAAGAAAGAGGAATTACAATTTTTCTGATCTCCAGGTCACAGAACTGATGCAGGAACAGTCTTACCTGAAGTGTGAATTGGGCATAGGACTCAGAGAAATGGGATTTGAAATTCCTCCTGGAGAAAGCTCAGAGTCTGTTTTCTCCCAAGCAACATCAGAGTCATCTTCTGTATGTTCCGGTCCCTCTCATGCTAACAGAAGAACTGGAGTACCTCCTAGTGACTCAGCAGGCAGACCCAAGACCCGTCTGGTACCAAGCAAGAAAGTGTACCGAGCATCAGTTGCTTTAACACCAACTGCTCCTTCTAGAATGGGCTCTGTACAGACGCCTCCGGATGTAGAAAGTTCTGGGGAAGTTGGAGCACCTGAAGAAGCCTCAGAGGCTGTAGGACCAAAATCTGAAGAGGAGGACAGATGTGGAAAAATCCCATTAATGCCAGCTGCTAAGGAAATGCATAAAAACTTGGAGCAAGATGAGTTGCAGCAAGTTATACGGGAAGTGAGTAAAAATCTATGTATAATTAATTTATTTGTTGATACATGTTGGGAGAGGTCTTATTTGAACATTATAAGGTACTCTTTTGATTCACCATGTTCAGTAATTTACAGAGAGCTTTTAAATTAACTTTCCCATTCGTCTAACTTATGTCTATTAAGATATGTTTATAATGGCATTTCTGCAAATTTCATACTCCAGTGTAAGTAATTGCAATTCTAAGTAATTGCAGTTCAAAATAAACATGTAACAAACTCTTTAGATCTCTATTTCCACATCTGTAAATTGAGGGATTACAATTAAGATCTCTTGTGGGAATAAAAGCTGTCATAATGTCAGTTGACATGAGAAAATGGTGTTGTGTTTTTCAAAGTATAAAGAATTTGATTTTTTTTGGTTTAGTGGGTGGAGAAATGTAGAAATTATATGAGTTGTTCAAAGATAGAAATTCAGAATGAAAAGGTTTGCCCTGGATGATAGCAGTTTGCAAGCTAGGCTACAAAAAGGACTGCAAAAAGTTAGGAAAATTAGTAGTCAAAGGTCAAAAGTTAATTGAGAAAATCGGTAAAATAGCTGTTTTTGGCACTACAGTAAATAATAATAACTAGTATATACATATATATCACTCAAAATGAGAGATCTCTATGATACATATTTATGTTGGTTTTTTTATTTTTTTCCTTTTCTTCTCAAATCACATTGTCTTTGGATGCAAAATCTAGTGGAGTGCAAAGGATAAAAATTATGTGTCGAATATATCTTTTTTCATACTGTCCTTTTTTCTTAAGAGTAACTAAGGATACACCATAATTATACATAGTTCTTTCCAACTGAGATACTAAAAACTATAAGAAAGGATCTTTCATTCTTTGTACTAGTTAACAAGAGGAAAAATCATTCTGTAAGTTTCTTAATATTTGCACTGTAAAAGATAAAAGAAAAATTCATAGGAGACATGAAATCCTTCAAGTCTAGTAAGAAAGTTAACAAGACTAAGTTAGGAAACAATTGAAAACTACACAGAAAAGATTTAGTATATTGTATTCAAGAACTAAGAATTTAGAAATGGAAAACATCAAAAGAAGCCAAAGAAATTAGTCAGTGGCTGTCAATTTTTAATTTGTGTATTTGCAATAAATTCAGCAATGTGAACCTCATGTAGTTTTAGAATTAATTTAAGTAACTTAGAACAAAATATAGTGGTTATATTTCGATAATGGTGGCAGCAGATCAGAATCTTCCCTCAGGTGATCCCCTAATCTTCTGGGCTCAGAGATACTTCATGTGGATTAGGTGCCATCATTTGTAGCAGCTAGACAAGTACATTAAAAATAAAAAGAGTTTTGCAATGATGAAATTATACATTCCTAAAAATCATTGTGCTGTGCAAATTCATGCAATAAAACTACAAGCTTATGGGGAAAATAGTATTAGAACCATAACACTCAAAACTTTGTTAGTGACATACTAAAACAAAAAGAAAACCAATAAAAACAGAATCGTGTACATGTTAAATGGTTAAGAAATGCATAAATACTGCAATAAATATGGCACTTCACTTGAAAAACTCCGAAAATTTGCTTATGTAATTGGGCTTTGGAAGGATTGCAGCTTGAGTACTGCGAGGTGACAGAGGAGAGTAATAAGAAACCCAACAGAAAGTTTTAATACTGACGTGGGTGGGTATGGCATAATACACAGTGAATTGAGAGAGCTGGTGGATGCACAAGGTATGTGTGTGTTTTCAGTAGCGTTCAGCTGAATGCAGTTATCTCTGCTCACTGGTGTTTCTTGTGGATGAAATTACACAAAAAGCAAATGCAAAATTTACATTATACTCAAATTTCCTAATATTTCAGTCCTTTTGAGACAAATTTACATTTTCAAAAAAGCATTATAGCACAAGAGACTGCATGTAGGTAATTACTTTTCATAATGTGAATTACCAACCTAAAGTCTTAATTCTATAAATTTATTTGTCCTACAAATATAATTATTTTTGTAAGTTGGTGGCAGCTGGCTAATGTTTAGCAAACTCTGTACATCCATTTTGCTCAATAAGATGGGAATGATTGTAATCATTTTTAGTTATGTGTTCCACATCAAAGATCAATTTTTGAATGAAATTATTTAATTTTTTACATGCTGTGGTTTTTTTAACTGAGAAAGTTGGTATTAAGGTCCTTTTTTCCCCAACAAATGTATTTTTCCTTTAGCTTTGTTTGGCTTGAAAATTTTCCTTGAAAAACGACTTTATGTTGCTTATTTGGCACAAACAGTTCCTCAATGCACACTTGAATCCTCATTTTTAAAGCGTTGAATGGATAGCCTAATATGTGCTGTAAGCAATTTCCTAGGAGTAAAGTATTCCTAGACCAGAACACTGATTCTTTGGCTGATAGAAATAGGGCACAGAAAAGTTGGTTGTTCTGTCGTACTGCTTTAGAACCTCACGTTAAATATGAAAGATTTTATAATACCAAGACATTTAAACTGACATGCAAGCCAAATATTTGAGGAATTTTTCAGTATTTGTTACTAAATTAGGAACTTCCCTAATTCAGAACTTGGCATAGTTTGGAGTAAGTTGGGCTTAACATTTGCCCTTTTACTGTGTATAAATAAGGATTTACCAAGCAAAAAATACAGATCAAACAAGTTGCAAAGGGAACACTGATGTGCTTAAGAGAATAAACTATTTTGAAGTACTTTATAAGCATATATTTATACATTATAATAATGTCATTTATAATTTAAAAAGTAATTTGTGTTCATATCATTTTAGCCCAATTACAATAGTTTTCTGTTAAACTTTGTTTACAGAATATTTAAAATTCAGATGGGTCTTGGTTCCATTCACTTCAAATCTGTAATCCTTTTACTTAAATACACATGGTACTGAATTCCAGTTTTTTTTAAGCTTATTTTATGGGCTACCAAGAAAATTAAATGAGATTCTTTCTTCCCAGTAGATTTTGGTTCCCTAACCCCATTAACAAGGCTACTATTCAGGAAGGAAAGAATAAGCTTAGGTTGAACACTTCTGCAGGTGAGGATTAAGCATGTTTGGCAGACACTTCAGGGAAGTTTTCTTATTGCACTCATGGGTGCATGAAAACAATGATGTCTGTCTGGCCTTTGTATCCATCATTTCACTATATGTGGAGTTTTTAACAGGTATGCTTCATTATTTATAATATGTTAATATGGTAAGAGTTCTTCTTTTGAAGGAGAATACTCAGATCCTTTCAGACAATTATTTAATATACTCATTTAATAGCAGCTTTTGCCAGATTAAAGATTAGCCCCTTTTTGGTGCAGATTTGTATATGTTGTATAATGGAAAAAGTACACTCTCTTGGAATTTGCCCCGGTGGTCTGTGATGTATGTAATCAGTGGTCTGAAACCTTTTATAGTTACTTAAAAAAAAAAAAAAGGTAAAAAGATTACTTAATGGAATGAATGAACCTGTGCCCACAGAAGCAAATTCAATAGAATTAAACATCAAAGAATAAACATGGATTTTTTTGTGTTTAGAGAGTTCTTTGTTTATTGAAAGTTCCTAAGCTTGGTTCATGGTATCTTTATGACAGTTCATCTGACATGCTCTAACATGTATTTTAGTATATACAAAACTTGCCTGTGTTTTTCTTGTAGTGATCATTTGATATAATGGCTGCCATGAAGTAAGCACTCAGTAGATGCGTATTAAATGGATGTGTTGCCCCTATACTTTGGACTTGGAATCAGTCTGTTTAAATTGCCAATGAGTACTCCTTTCTTAATCTCAAGTAGTTTGCCTTCAACCTATACCACTTTTTGAAAATTGTGCTCATTTTTTAAAGGCAACTTGACCATCCATCCCAGTAGAGTTTTCTCACTCTTAGTCCTTTCAACCTCTGTAGCCTGGGAGACTTTAGAACTAATTTATTTGCCCATACATTTATTCCTTCAATAAATTAAAGGCATTTTATCATCTTCAGTGCTATTCTGTCTATAGTCCTTTGTTTTTCTACTTCCTGTTACTTTTTGTGTCTGACACTTTCTGTCACTCTCATTCTCAGTCTCAAGCTCTCATCAATGCATTCATTCAAGCTTTCATTGAGTGCTTACTTTATGCCAGGATACATTGTGGAATGAGACCCAGTTCTCTCCCTGCTGTAGTGTATTGCAGCACACTCCTTTCTTCTTCAGATTTGCTTCTGCTCCCTGGTAGGAACTACCCTGTCAGCTAGGCTCCTTTTTGCTCTCCTCTTATCCAAGGTGGTCTTGCTGCAGTTTTGTATCCTCACTATCATCTGAAATTGTCCTTTATTGTGACCTACTATTTTAGAGTCTGCCATTCTCTGAGAACTTTTTATTTTTTCCTCTTCTAGTCAATATTGGTCTCTCATTTTGCCAAGTGCATTATGTTCTTATGTCATTAAATTAATAAATTATTTTTTCCTCAGTATTTTATGAAACAGCATTTTGTGCCCATCCGGATTATAACATCCTTCATGGTAGAGATTCTTTTATGCTTTACTCCAGTAATGTCTATACCCTGAAAAAATGTTGGCACATATTTTTGGTTTGTAGAAGATACTTTTTGGCAAGTTTGTGTTTTGGATGATGAGATTTAATAAGATTGCCACATTGTATTGGACAGCAGGACTGGAAAGACTCTGCTAGTCATTGTCCTTTACAAATACAGATTTGCAGACGTTCTGATTCAACACATTGTATTTGTTCTTGTGTTCTGTGGCTAAGAGATTCTGGTTTTCAAAATATTTGTATCTGACACATTTGTTTAAAAAATGAATCTGAAGTGAATATCAACTTCAGAAACTCTTGATGATGTTTAAAGCTTAGAAATATTGATAGGAGGTAAAATGAGAAGCTATTTACTTAAATATATTCCAGTACAGATGGTTGGTAGCTAAGGAGCATTTGTTTCTATGAATATTTACATATAAACCTAGTGTTATGCACCACTTCTGCATTACATTAATACAGAATGATTTTTGGAAAGACTTCAGTTGAGATGTGTTCTGGATGTACTTAGAAACATTTTAGGAAATAGATCAGGCTGACAGAAACTATGGAAATATATAATTTAAAAAAAATGAGTGTGTCTCCAGTGCTAATTTGGGAGGGAATTATCGGTTTATTTCAAGAAATATGCATTTAAAGCTTTCACAAAGGGCTATTTGGAGGTGATGCTGTATCATTAGAGAGAAAAAGGTGTGGAGAGGCAGGTGTGGTGGTTGGACCTCAGGAGAAGAAAGTCTCGATGGAATATCATTGCCCCAGGTCTGTGCCTTTTCTAACAATAAAATAAAAGGTAAATCCTTATCTGAGGCAAAATTTTAAGCAGGTGACAAATGTACCTTATGATTAAAGAAAAATTTATTTCTTTAGAGTTTATAATTGTTTAAAGGGTGTTTTCATGTCTTAAATTGTACTAAATGATCATTTCTTCTTCCCACTTAATATGTGCATGTTAGGTTAGAACAATATTCAGCTTCTTCAGATATTTTGTTTTCAGTTGTATATTGTATATATGCAATATACCTACCTGTATATCATCTTGTCACTAAAGGGTTTTCTTAACAACTGGAACACTTGAGTATCCTATTAATTACCATACAAAGATATCATTAATAAAAAACATGAATGTGAGCCCAACATTTAATCAGTTCGTCTAGATTATTTTTTATCATAAAGGAAATTACAAGTTTTTTAATCTGTAAAATAACATTTTAAATATTCTTAACTCAAGAAGTGTGATATTTTGTGATTGAGTTATCTGAGTTACGCTATGCCAGATCTTAGATGATCTGATCTGGATTTGAAGATAGATGGCCATGATTCCCCATTACCTTTTAGTACTTCATAAAGGTTTACATGAACGTTGTAGTTTTCTCTCTGGTTTAGTTGATTGCAGAAATTAAATGCTATTTATGTTTTTCTGAAAACAAAAAATAGATTACAGTCATATCATTAAACTCTTATTTTTCTCTTCTTTCATTCTAGATTAAACAGTCTATTGTTGGGGAAATCAGACGGGAAATTGTAAGTGGACTTTTGGCAGCGGTATCTTCAAGCAAAGCATCTAATTCTAAGCAAGATAGTCATTAAATGGAATTTGGAGGTAAATTTTCCTGAACTTAAAATTTGTTTAGCTAAATGTAAATTAGTACTTAGTTATTAATGCTTTGTTTTCTTAGTACATGAGGTCTATTTCTCTAGCTAAATTTTTATTTTTGAATATATGTAATATGTTATCTTAGATTGTGGAAACCTCATGCAAACTACATTTGAAGTGTAAGTTACAAACTACATTTGAGTATTCTCATGTCTCATAATACTAACTTACAAGGGATAATTGATACTGTGTCATTTTACTGAAATTTTATTATTGTAAATAAATGCTGTAATTGGGGAAATCAGGAAGTTCAAACCTGAGTCTTTCTCTGATAGCATTGGTTATAGTGGTATTTCAGAGGGACAATTTATGGACCAAGATTTTGAGAATTCATCACAAAATCTTAGTATCTTTTTAAATTTTTTTATCTTTTAAAGAAACACATTCCATCAGTTCATATCTAATCATTTCATAATTGATAAAGGAGGATGTTTATATATATTTATATTTAAAGAATATTTGCATCCTCCTTTTAAAGGGCCTTTTAATATTTCAAAGATGTTTAATGTTCATTTCTCCTTTTTTAAGGTTGCCGTGGATCCTGTTTTCTGTGTGATATTGGACTCATCAATGGTATACACTGGTGGAGGTATTATTGTGCTTCAGAAGATACTTGCTGCTGAGCTGGGCTACTGTGTACAGTATACAATGTTTATTTCTTCTATGCACATCTTTTTAAAAGCATCCATAGAAACTTAGACACTTTGTTGATTTTCTTTAATAAACTATCAAAACTGTAGCTGTTTGAAAAGCCTAATATTTATTTGTATGTCGATATTTTCCAATTGATTCCCTATGTAGAATTAATTTTAAAACTTGAAAACTTCCAGACTTAATCAACTTATAAATAACATATTTCTTCGGACTAGCTTCTTAAAACACTGACCTCTATGAGGTATTTACTGTGCAATAACTGATTCATTTTTTGAGAGCTTGAAGCAACGAATGATTTTCCCTCCACTACTGTTAGTGTCCCTTCCAAGGAGAAAAATTGTTCTGTTGTAAAAATTGCTCTTAATTCTTGAGGAGGTTACTAATAGCAGTAGGATAGAATGATAGGTGGTTACCTACAACTACTTAATGTTCTTACACTGTAAGCATTGTTACCTTACCCAAGACAAATGTAATTTTATTATAGCTTATGTAGTATTTTTCTTTTGAAAACATGCCTTTTGTTAAGTACTTTTTGCATTGTCCAGACTTCTTTATTATAGAGAGATGTTTCTTCTGTGTTTTCAACTAAATAGTAGAGTACTGCCAAAATAATGGGGCCTCTGACTTGAATGGATAGAAATGAGTAAGCTGGTTTTGTTTTTTCAAATGGAAGTATTTTAGATTTGTTCTCTTTATAACAGATGGTTTTAATTCAGTTTTAACCAGTGAGAACTGTTGTTCTTATGAAAAATAAAGTGGTTTCCTACTTAGTTTTATACGTGTTAAATAAATGTATAAAGTAACAACCAAATTTATTAGAATTACTCTTTTAGCATTTATAATTTTCAACTCATTTCTTTGTCTGAAATTTTAATCAAAAGTGGTTGAGATGTTAACAATATTCTTTGAAAGAATATCTAAAAGGTTTATGAATGAGTTACCACACAAAGGCTGATTTCTAAATAAATAAATAAATAAAACAATAAAGTATTTATTTTGCCTAACATGTTTTTAGTGGGTTTTTTTCCCTTGAACTACAACATGAGGAATTTGGATTAGATTTGACAGATAACAAATAAGGTCCAAAAGAATTGGCAGTTATAAGCTAATAAGTTGATATTCTCTTTTCCTGAAGGGGTTTCTATGATGCTTTCAAAAATATAGTTAAGACTAGACCACCTTCAAGAAAGAGCTTGAACTGATGCCCCTTGGTCTTATCTAGTTTTTTGGTTTAAGATTATCATCTGATCTGAGGTCAAATAAACCTTTTCTATAAAATGTACTGTTAAACTACATAGTAATTTAGGAGAACAGACATTAGGGTATTATCTTATTCTTTGGTCAAATTATCCAGCAATTTAACTAGTTGATTCTAATAACAGTAATGATCCTTATAAACCAAACACCCCATATTAATAGTAATATAGGTATCAGTAATTTTAACCGTTCAGCTTTGTAGCCACTTGTAGTTAATTTCTAACAATGCAGGAAACCCAGAATTTGATGATCAATATTAGGGACATAACAGTTGCAATAATAGGCTGAGCCAATGGGCAAATCACTTAGAGTATATAAAGGAAATAAAAACTTTAACACAATTACAATTACTTCTTTCTTCTCCCATTTGAAACCTTTGGGTACTTGAACATTTGAAAGCTGTATTCAAGCCATCATGGTAAGTGCTATGTAGAAATTAATGAGAGGTGGTCTACAAACTAGATGGGAGAACAAGGCATCCTTTTTTAAAAATTTATTTTTTGTTAAGTTATTATTGATACACACTCTTATGAAGGTTTCACATGAAAAAACAATGTGGTTACTACATTCACCCCTGTTACTGTGTTCCCCACATATACCCCATTGCAGTCACTGCCCATCAGTGTAGTAAGATGCCACAGAGTCACTATTTGCATTCTCTACCTCACTGTCTTCCCCATGATCCCACAGCCACACCATGTCTGCCAATTATAATTCCCCTCAGTCCCCTTCTCCCTCCCCACCTGCCCTACCCCATGCCTCCCCTTTGGTAACCACGGGTCCCTTCTTGGATGCTGTTCCTACAGTTTTGCTTCGTTGTTATACTCCACAAATGAGGGAAGTCACTTAGTACTTGTCTTTCTTCACCTGGCTTATTTCACTGAGCATAATATCTTCCAGTTCCATCCATGTTGTTGCAAATTGCAGAATTTGTTTCTTTCTTATGGCTGAGTAGTATTCCATTGTGTATATGTACCACCTCTTTTTTATCCATTCATCTACTGATAGACACTTAGGTTGCTTCCATATCTTAGCTATTGTAAATAGTGCTACAGTAAACATAGGAGTGCATCTGTCTTTTTGAATATGAGAAATTATATTCTTTGGATAAATTCTTATGAGTGGAATTCCTGAGTCAAATGGTATTTCTATTTTTAGTTTTTGAGGAACCTCCATATTGCTTTCCACAATGGTTGAATTAGCTTACAGTCCCACCAGCAGTGTAGGAGGGTTCCCCTTTCTCCACATTCACGCCAGCATTTGTTGTTCTTAGACTTTTCAATACTCGCCATCCTATCTGGTGTGAGGTGATATCTTATTGTGGTTTTTATTTGCATTTCCCTGATGATTAGTGATGTGGAGCACCTTTTCATGTGTCGGCCATCTGAATTTCTTCTTTGGAGAACTGTTCATATCCTCCACCCATTTTTTAATTGGGTTATTTGCTTTTTGGGTGTTGAGGCGTGTGAGTTCTTTATGTATTTTGGATGTTAACTCCTTGTTGGATATGTCGTTTACAAATATATTCACCCAGACTGTAGGATGCCTTTTTGTTCTGTTGATGGTGTTCTTTGCTGTACAGAGCTTTTTAGTTTGATGCAGTTCCATGAGTTCATTTTTGCTTTTGTTTCCCTTGCTCAAGGAGATGCATTCAGAAAAAAGTTGCTCATGTTTATATTCAGGAGATTTTTGTGTATGTTCTAAGAGTTTTATGGTTTCATGACTTACATTCAGGTGTTTGATCCATTTCAAGTTTACTTTTGTATATGGGGATAAACAATCCAGTTTCATTCTCTTACATGTAGCTGTCCAGTTTTGCCAACACCGGCTGTTGAAGAGGCTGTCATTTCCCCATTGTATATCCATGGCTCCTTTATCATATATTTGACCATATATGGTTGGGTTTATATCTGGGCTCTCAAGTCTGTTCCATTGGTCTCTGGGTCTGTTCTTGTTCCAGTACCAAATTGTCTTGATTACTGTGGCTTTGTAGTAGAGCTTGAAGTCAGGGAGTGTAATCCCCTCAGCTTTATTCTTCCTTCTCAGGATTGCTTTGGCTATTTGGGGTCTTTTGTGGTTCCATATGAATTTTAGAACAATTTTCTCTAGTTCATTGAAGAATGCTGTTAGTATTTTGATAGGGATTGCATTGACTCTATAGATCACTTTAGGCAGGATGGCCATTTTGACAATATTAATTCTTCCTATCCATGAGCACAGGATGTATTTCCATTTATTGGTATCTTCTTTAATTTCTCTCATGAGTGTCTTGTAGTTTTCAGTGTATAGGTCTTTCACTTCCTTCATTAGGTTTATTCCTAGGTATTCTTTTTGATGCAATTGTGAATGGAATTGTTTCTCTGATTTCTCTTTCTGCTAGTTCATCATTAGTGTATAGGAGTACAACAGATTTCTGTGTATTAACTTTGTATCCTGAAACGTTGCTGAATTCAGATATTAGATCAAGTAGTTTTGGAGTGGATTCTTTAGGGTTTTTTATGTACAATATTATGTCATCTGCAAACAGTGACAGTTTAACTTCTTTACCAATCTGGATGCCTTTTATTTGTGTTGTCTGATTGCCATGGAGGACCTCTAGAACAATGTCGAATAAAAGTGGGTAGAGTGCACCTCCTTGACTTGTTCCTGATCTTAAAGGAAAGGCTTTCAGCTTCTTGCTGTTAAGTATAATGTTGGCTGTGGGTTTGTCATATATGGCCTTTATTATATTGAAGTACTTGCCTTCTATACCCATTTTATTGAGAGTTTTTATCACGAATGGATATTGAATTTTGTCAAATGCTTTTTCGGCATCTATGGAGATGATCATGTGGTTTTTGTTGATGTGGTGAATTATGTTGATGGATTTTCTAATATTGTCCGTCCTTGCATCCCTGGGATAAATCCTACTTGATGATGATGGATGATCTTTTTGATATATTTTTTAATTTGGTTTGCTAATATTTTGAGTATTTTAGCATCTATGTTCATCAGGGATATTGGTCTGTAAATTTCTTTCTTTGTGGTGTCTGCCTGGTTTTGGTATTAGATGCTAGCCTCATAGAATGAATTTGGAAGTATTCCCTCTTCTACTTTTTGGAAAACTTTAAGGAGGATGGGTATTAGGTCTTCATAAATGTTTGATAAAATTCAGCAGTGAAGCCATCTGGTCCAGGTTTTTGTTCTTAGGTAGTTTTTTGATTACCAGTTCACTTTTTGGTAATTGGTCTGTTCAGATTTTCTGTTTCTGGGTTAGCCTTTGAAGGTTGTATTTTTTTACGAAGTTGTCCATTTCTTCCAGGTTATCCAGTTTGTTAGCATATAATTTTTCATAGTATTCTGTAATAATTCTTTATATCTGTGGTGTCCATAGTGATTTTTCCTTTGTCATTTCTGATTCTGTTTATGGGTGTAGACTCTCTTTTTCTTTTTAAGTGTGGCTAGGGGTTTATTTATTTTCTTAAGGAACCAGCTCCTGCTTTCATTGATTCTATTGTTTTATTTTTCTTGAATTATTTATTTCTGCTCTAATATTTATTATGTCCCTCCTTCTACTGACTTTCATCCTCATTTGTTCATATTTTTGTAGTTTTGTTAATTGTGAATTTAGACTGTTCGTATGGGATTGTTCTTCTTTCCTGAGGTAGGCCTGTATTGCAATATACTTTCCTCTTAGCACGGCCTTCACTGCGTCTAACAGATTTTGCGGTGTTGAATTATTGTTGTCATTTGTCTCCATATATTGCTTGATCTCTGTTTTTATTTCGTCCTTGATCCACTGGTTATTTAGGAGCATGTTGTGAAGTCTCCATGTGTTTGTACGCTTTTTCATTTTCTCTGCATAATTTATTTCTAGTTTCATACCATTGTGATCTGAAAAGCTGGTTGGTACAATCTCAACCTTTTTGAATTTACCAAGGCTCTTTTTGTGGTCTAGTATATGATCTATTCTTGAAAATGTTCCATGTGCACTTGAGAAGAATGTGTATCCTGCTCCTTTTGGGTGGAGAGTTGTGTAGAAGTCTGCTAGGTCCATCTGTTCTAGTGTGTTGTTCAGTGCTTCTGTGTCCTTACTTATTTTCTGTCTGGTTGATCTATACTTTGGAGTGAGTAGAGTGTTGAAGACTCCTAGAATGAATGCATTGCATTCCATTTCCCCTTTTAATTCTGTTAGTATTTGTTTCACAAATGTAGGTGCTTCTGTGTTGGGTGCATAGATATTTATAATGGTTATATCTTCTTGTTGGATTGACTCCTTTATCATTATGTAATGTTCTTCTTTGTCTCTTGTGACTCTCTTTGTTTTGAGGTCTATTTTGTCTGATACAAGTACTGCAATACCTGCTTTTTTTCTTCCTATTAGTTGCATGATATGTCTTTTTCCATCCCTTCACTTTTAGTCTGCATATGTCTTTGTGTTTAAAGTGAGTCTCTTGTAGGCAGCATATAGATGGTTGTTTTTTTATCCATTCAGTGACTGTCTTTTGATTGGTGCATTCAGACCATTTACATTTAGGGTGATTATTGATAGGTATGTACTTATTACCATTGAGAGCTTTAGATTCATGGTTACCTAAGGTTCAAGGTTAACTTCCTTACTTTTTTAAGAGTAACTTAACTCACTTACTATGCTATTACACAATCTAAAGGTTCTTTTTTTTTCCCCCATCCTTTTTTTTACTTCTCCATTCTTTATATATTAGATTTCATATTCTGTACTCTTTATCTATCCCTCTTTATTATTACCTCTGGTGACAGCTATTTAATCTTAGGCACACTTCCATCTATAGCAGTCCCTCCAAAATACACTGTATAGGTGGTTTGTGAGAGCTAAATTCTCAGCTTTTGCTTATCTGGAAATTGCTTAATCCCTACTTCAAATTTAAATGATATATAATCTTCTGGATAAAGTATTCTTGGTTTGAGGCCCTTCAGCTTCATGGCATTAGATACATCATGCCAGTCCCTTCTGGCCTGTAAAGTTTCTGCTGAGAAGTCTGATATTAGCCTGATGGGCTTTCCTTTGTATGTGATCCTATTTCTCTCTCTGTCTGCTTTTATTAGTCTGTCCTTATCCTTCATCTTTGCCATTTCAATTATTATATGTCTTGGTGGTGTCCTCCTTGTTTTGGGAGTTCTTTGCATTTCCATGGCCCAACTATCTCCTTCCCAGATTTGGGAAGTTTTTAGCAATTACTTCCTCAAAGACACTTTCTATCCCTTTTTCTCTTCTTCTTCTGGTACCCCTATAATATGAATATTGTTCTGTTTGGATTGGTCACACAGTTCTCTCAGTATTCTTTCATTCCTAAGATGCTTTTTCCTCTCTGTACTTCAGCTTTTTATCTCTCTTCCCTAGTTTCTACTTCATTTGTCATCTCCTCTGCCATATGTAATCTGCTTTTAATACCCTCCATTGTGTTCTTCAATGACTGGATCTCCATCCTAAATTCGTTCCTGAGTTCTTGAATATTTTTCTGTACCTCCATGAGCATGTTTATGATTTTCATTTTGAAATCTCTCAGGATGACTTATTAATTCAGTCTTTCTCTGCTGTTGATTCGGTCCTTTCTCTGGTGTTGAGATTTTGCTTTGAACCAAGTTCCTTTGACATTTCAAATTTGTTTGTGGTGCCCTCTAGTGCCCAGAAGCTCTATAGTCTGGAGCTGCTCAGCCCCTGGAGCAATGTTGGGGGTCGCAGGGGAGCAGTGCTGGTGCCTGGGGGGAGGAAAGAGTTGTTTCCTGCTTCCTGGCTGCCATGCCTGTCTCTACTACCAGAACCAGTGGGCCAAATTCACAGGTCTAAGTCTCTGTGCTTTGTGTTTGTAGCTTCTGTAGGCGGTGCTTCCCTCTGGCTGGCCTGGTGCCAGGAAAGCAGCTGCTGGTTTGTAAGCCAGGTGCAGACTAGCCAGGAGGGAGGCACAGCAGGGTACATATCATGGTGGAGGGCCTTGGAGCTGCATAGCCAGCCAGGGGGATGCAGCACCTGAAGACTGTTTGCTGGGCAGAGTGCATCTGGACATTTTGTCTACCTGTCCTTTCTCCTGAGCATTAAGCTTTGTGCAATCTTTTCTCCTTTAGCAGCCCTCTCACTTTTAGGAAGTCTCTCAAACTGCCCACCCAGATCAGCCAGATATGAATTCCTGTTTTCCACAAGCAGCTGGAATCTCTCTCTCTCCAGGTATTCTGCCTGTATTTGCTTTCCAACCCCACTAATCACCAGAGCACCGTGCAATGTAGGGTTGTGCTCCCAGAGCAGATCTCCAGGGCTGGGTCTTCAGCAGTTCCAGGCCTCCACTCCCTCCTCACTCTGTTTCTTTTCTTCCCGCCTGTGAGCTGGGGTCAGGGAAGGGCTTTGGTCCTGCCAGGTCACTATTTTGCTACGTTACCCTGTTCCATGAGGTCCGCTTTTTTCTCCAGGTGTATGCAGTCTTGTCCAGCTTTCTTTCCTCTTGCTCTTTCAGGATTAGTTGTATTAATTTTATTTTTCTATTTTATGTAGTTTTAGGAGGAGGTCTCTGTCTCACCTCTCATGCCACCATCCTCAAGGCATCCTTTTTTATAGGTAAGTTTAGTAGTACCAAATGAAAAAGAATCAAAAAGAATTTGAGAGAGTGACCTGGGTGGCCAGAGAGATCTTAACCAAGGTAATGTGGTTTGAGCAGAGTTTTGAAGCATGGAAGTGGAAAGGGTGGGGTTCAAGTAATTGATATATTAGCAAAGGTTATCTAGAATGCATAAAATGAGTTTGAATTACTATGTATATGATGAAGGAATGTCTTTAAGAACCCAGTTCTTTAGCTTGCACACTTTGCTAATAAGAGCCTAAACAAAAGAGGGCATAGAAGTAAAACAATCTTGAAGTGATTTGGAAGTTGGGAGTTGCTGTCAGTGATAAACCATTGACAAAAAAATGGACAGCTTCTCAGACTTGAAGTACATTATTTTTCCTCTTAAGAATATTAAGCTGAGTTTCAGGAACATTGAAAACATGCATTACATCAGTGAGACTATTTGCTCAGCTGGCCATCTTCAACTTTTTAAAACTTCATATTTTTAGAGCAATTTTAGGTTTACAACATACTTCAGCTTTCTTTAGAGGAAAATAATGCTGTCAAGTGCATGTAAAATCATGTAAAAAAAAAGTATGTTTGGGGGATCCCTGCGGTGATGATGTGCTGACCACTCTCCCCCACTGTCCAAATAGCGTGGTGCTAGTGGAAGAATAAAACAAAACTGAAGCATAGGTTCTCCTTTTCTCTCTTTTCCTTTCCTAAAAAGGGAGAATTGTTAGCACTTACAGAAGTGGGAAGAGGTAACATTCTAGCTTATAATTAAGGATGTGGATCTGTCTTATAGTAAGTTATGTATGGCTGATTGTTAGAATCCTTTATAAATAATGAAAGCATTTTATTAGCACTTTTCTGGCTGTATCTTAAAAGTACAAAGTTAAGATGTTACATCTAATAGTTCCTATGCAGTTTAAAAAAGTTTTTCAATTTATTACTATTAAGTCAGGCCCTTTACCTTGTTTTCTTTGTTCTCATTTTCACAACTGAGGTTTTCCTCTTTGAATAAGTAATAGCTTGCATACAGAATGTCTCATACAGTGCACTCAGCAATAAATTAGAAATACACTCAAACATATCAAATATCAGGGTCCATTTCCTTTGGGGTCTTTTTGAATATCTCAAAAGAGACGGAAAAGCTACGTTAGTGATTAGCTTACTTGCTCACTTGGTTCACACAATAGAAGTATGTTGGATACCCACCTTTTATAAGGTTCTGAGCTTAGGAAGATGGATGTATAGAGAATGAATAAGCATATTGTAAGGAAAGCTAATAAATACATTGTTTAAACCTCTGAAAGAGTTAACACATTTGGGAATTAGATTGTCTCTTTTTTTGGCAATTTTTGAAAAATCCAAAGGGTTCTTTAAGTGGAGAGAAAAGCACAGTAAATGAAAGAATTGAAATGCATATGAATAATAGCTTTTGAAGAGCAGACTTAATGTCTTAGAAATGGAACTGAAAAAAGAATGTTGCTGTTTTAGAAATAAAAATACTCGTAGTGCTGACAAAACATTTTAAATAACATTTATCCATAGGCTAAAGAGAAGAAAAGTTGAAGGGGCCTTGAGAAGTTACTTTAAATATACTACTAAAATGAGGAAAGCACAACTATAGAGAAGCATGCCTTGTTTAAGTATTTGTGTATTCTTTGGGTTTTAGAAACCATACATTCTATTGTGTTGATGTCCCTATTGATTTAGATTTACAAAAACATCCCTTGAATTAACCTTGATGTCATAAATACACTTTCATGGAATCAATAAAAATGGTATAGCATGACAAGTGTACTTAATTTGGAATTTCAACCTGTATGACATCAACAACAAAAAAAATGTTTTAAAGCAATTAGAGATTATGTTTTATACAAAATTATTTCCTGCTCTTAATTCTGTGCAAAAATTTCTTAGTTTTCCTACAAGAGCAATTTGCCAGTGTAACAAACTACAACTAAACTTCTTTACAATTTTATGCCTCTTAAAAATAGTTCCAAGTGTCATACATTTGGCTTCATGAAATATGGAAATAAATGCTACTCCTTGTTCACAAATAGGCACATTGTAATAGAATACCTGTTTTTTTCCAGTGTAACAGTTATTCATGAGTGTTGTTGTTAAATAATAGGGGCAAAATATCACTACAGGCCCATTTTCAGAAAACAAAGCACTAATCACTAGAAAAGATATCAAAATGTTTTAAACAAAAGGGCCAATAGATAAGAGGCTCAAGGAGTCACTGACCCGACAAGGATGTACATTGGTCTAGGGATTAAGGTTAAAAACTGGGTTCAAATCTCTGTTACATACAACTGGGATGGTGAATATAGTGTCTCTTCCATAGAGCTGTTAGTATGAATGTAAATGTACTTAATACTTGGCACAGTTAAACAAGGTTTGTGGTGGTGGTGGTGGTGGTGGTGATGGTGGTGGTAATGGGTAGAAAAAGGGTAACAGGTAGATGAGGTTTGGCAAAGTAAGAATTATACGAAAGAAAATATGAATTGTAGATCCAAGCCTGAATTTTTCATCTTCATTGTGTTCTTTCCAACAGTAGAACCAGGGACTGGCAAAGGACAAACTCTCCTATTACGTGAAGGGGTAAGCATTACTGCATTTCAATTTTCAACAAAGAAATTTTGTTGGTGTCTTGCCAATGGATTTCAGCCCCAGGCAAGTTCACTATAGATTCAATGTGACCAAAGAAATTCACAGCAAAACATTCTTGGGGTGAAAGGTTTCTACCCAACTTTATTTCCAGGTGGCAGGTCAGTCACTAGAATCCCATTCACTCAGAGTGAGTCTGCATGCAGCAAGCTAGTCTCTGTCCCTGGGCCCCTCTCTCCGCACAGCCATCCTCTGGGCCTCTCTGCACAGTTGTCCTGCACAGCTGTCCTCTGGGCCTCTGTCCTCGGCGCTGCCACCACTCCAGCCTCTGCTCTGCTCTCCTGCAATCTTGCAGCCCTGCCACAGTGTCACACCCAGAGCACTGGGTGGAGCTCTTTATATAGCCTCTACAGCCATGTATTGCCCACAGGTGTGCAGTGAGCTAGTCAACCAGGACCAGATGATAATCCTGACCACAGGAACTCTCATTTTATCCACAGTTGGAACAAGAAATTCTGCTCATGGAATACTATGGAGAGCAATCCTTCTCAATTTTTAAAATGTAAGGAATCAGATCACCTGAGATTCTGTACAAATGAAGGTTCTGATTGAGTAGGTCTGATTGAATAGGCTGCTTTCTGGGGTCCAGTTTTCTGCATTTCTAGAAGCTCTCAGGTGAGGTTGATGCTCATAGTCCATGAACTGCAGCAAGGATTTAGTTTAATAGGTTTTACTACTGGTCTGCCAGGTACTCAAAGGGAGAAATATGTTAAGCTGGAAAAGATTTTATTGGCAAGGAGATACCCTCTTAGAGGCCCTTTTCAGGAAGCTTTTCATTACAACCCAAAGTTCAAACCCAAGAACAAATAGGACACACCACACAGAAAATAGGAGGGTAACCATGAGGGGAGCTAGCTAAGGCCTCCTGGAAATGTATAAGGTCAATAGGGGCCTATGTGGCAGCAATAACAGCATGAACAAAGAGCTATCTTGCTCTTACTAATTAGTCTTTACACTGTGTTGACTGACTTTGAGAAAATACAAAGATAGTTTGTGGGCTTCTAGAGTCAACCAGTCAGGATCCAGAATGACACCCCAAAAGGAAAGAACTAGCTCTAGAGATACAACAGAAAGAAGAGATCAACTCTACGTATGGTATTTGTTCCAGACATTGGTGTTTGGAGAAGTTTACCGTTCCTTCTGATAAGGGATTAGTGATTAAAAACAAATTATACCTGTGTCAAATGCATTACAATGTTATTTGTGTTCTAGAGTTAATTGTTTAGTAAATTAATTCACATATGATTAATGGTTTTGTTTTGATTACTGTCTCACCAATGGGTTTCAGCTCCCGGTAAGTTCACTATGGATTCAGTGAGACCTAGGAGTGACAGTGGAACATTCTTGGGGTGAAAGGGTTTATTATCCGGCTTGTTTTCCTGGCAATAGGTCAAGCACTAGAATTATATCCACATCCAACAGTCTGCAGGTCTGTAATCCACCTCCATCTCTGTCTCCTCCCAGAGCACTTTATATAGTGACTCAGTCAATAATAGCTTATTGCCTACCGGTGTGAAAGCAGTAGCCTAGCAGTTGGCCAATTACATCGTCAAGTAGTTTAGGTTCACATGAAGATCCTGGCCTAGGAATTTCCATTTTTCCTACAGTAACTCTCAAATATTTCCTTTTATTATTTTTGTAGTCCCACAATAAAAAAGAAAATCTCTTGAAGTATTGTATTTAGACAGATTTTAGGTGATCTGATGAATCAGTTCAAAAACTATCACAATCCTGTGCCTGGACAGAAATTACTCTTGATTGAATCATGGAATCATCAGATAAATCTCAGTTATGAACGTTCTTATTTGTGTTTGGTTAGAATTTATACTTTTATTAACCTTTGGAGATATGTAAAATAAGCTTTTCATATAAACATTCAAATAAAAATGTAATTGTTTTCCAAGATCTCACCAGCCTTTAAGGAAAAATGAAATTGCATTAATGGTGATAGATATTTAAAAACAATTTTTTCCATCACATGCTGAAGCATATAGTCTTCCAAATCTCATTCATCTATATTGGGGAATCCTCACGAGTTATTCATATATCTTCATAACAGTCCTTACCTATCAGTTCCAAGTTATTTCCTCTTCTCTTGGTCTCTCTGTTGGGACTACTATGCTACCCTGCTCTTCCACTGGAGTTCTCAGCTGGCCAAAGTTATTATGATATATGGAAGTGGGGAGCTTCTCTTTCTGTATCGCCAACTTACCTCATGGGCAGCAAAGCAGCACTGCTTGTAACCCAGCTTTCTCACATGAATTCCTTGTGAGCACTTCCCTGGTGGTTTACACCTTCACTACCATCTCCACGGGGCTCGGCCATGGGTGCAAAGCACTTTACAAGACACTTTGCTGTCCATCCCATCCCTCGTTCTCCTCCAGTGCTGGCAAGCTCTCATTGTTTCTGCCAAACACCCTCTTGCAAATCAACTAATTCAAACTTACCATGGCTGAATCTTTAGCATGAATGCAACATAGGCACAAACTGGTTCCCTTCTATTCTTAGAATGGATACATTTTAATGACAGATGTTGAGCATTCATATTTTTAAATTCTGAAATCTCATCACAATCAGATTCACTGGACACACATCAATAAACAACTGTTCAATACAAGGCACGAATGGCAAAAGTTAATTTTTGTATGGCCTTATTTTACTATTTGCTAATTTGGTAATTTTTCCAGCATTTGAGTTAAATTTCACAAAAGATAACTTTTATTTTGGTACATTTATTATTGCTGTGCCTTTTGATTGCTGTATAAGAAACCAAAAGCAGAACACAAACATCACAATTCTGTTAGGTGTAATCCTAAACCATTTCTTAGAGTAGATATTAATTTCCTAGAAGAGTTTTTCCATAGTCTAGCCTGCCTGTAATGCCCTTAATGGGAAAGGGAAGTGAATGAAACAGCCCATCTCTTACGATATTCTGCTTTTTTGGACTCTAGGTACACATTTACAGAAATGATTTGTAGAAAGGCACACAGCAGTGAAAGGAACTTCATCTGTTATCAGAAATTAGTGAGTTATAGAACATAGTTGTACTTATCACTCATGATTTTGGGGCAGTTTTCCAAAATAGGCTGAATTTCCCAAAGGTTTTGGATTTCTGACTACCCCTAGATAAATTACCTATTTTTAGAAATCCAAGTGACAGAATGCTTGGCTTCATAAAAAACAAACCTGAACTCAGTATGGAACATCAGTGAAACTGGTAGCAGCCCATGTACAGTGTGTCTTGGTTTGTGGATTAGTTGATTATAGCAAAACTGGCAGCAAAGCAAGTTTCTTTAAAGGACTTTATTCTTTCCAATTAATAATAAAAATAAAAGGAACAGAGGAAGAGACAGTGGGGGAATCAATAATAGCCTGAATTTAAATCGGTGGGTGAGGAAGGACTTCTACGATGGAAAAGTCCTGATCACAGGTACACATGTAGCAATATGCATTCCTTTAATGGGGTGCTCTCAATTTTAGCATTTCCCTTCTGCTCTTTTCTTTTTTTCTCACCTCTTTCCTTTCAAGACCTAGAAATTATCTCTTTCCTGAGAGATGTCTTGAACGCCACTTCTCTGCTCTGAGAACATTGTTTCCTTCCTCAAACATGTGCATTGTAATATCTGATAGAACTGGATGAAAATCACATTTTGCCAACAAATGTACCCTTTCAGTGTCATTCTAGTCTTAAACACTGAGTTTGAGACTTCAGTTTATATAAAACAAGTTATTTCGTCATGTGATCTGGCCTACATGTTTGAGTCTGCAGTTGGTTTGCTAAAAACCGAAGACATCTACGTTCACTTCTTACAAGAAAAAAAACAGCTGCTAAAAATATACATAACTGAAGGAAGTAGAAGAACATAAGCATTAAGAGGTCCAATCTAGAGACAGATAGATAGAGGTTCCAGGCTTAGGTCTGCCTATTTCTTCCTTATTTTAGCCTCACTCTCTTGAGAATAACAATAGCACCTACTTCTTTGGTTTATTAAGGGAGATTAATAAGGTATAATAATATATGGATATTTAACATACTACCTAGCATATGGTAAGAGCCCAATAAATATTGGCTCTTGGCAAGAGGTAGTAATAATGACAGTACTAATAAAATAGAAAGCAAAAATACATAGCAGGGCAGTAAAATAACAAGATGAATACTGTTTTGATTATCTGAGCCCTATATGAATGAAAACACAGTTGCTATTATTCCAACTTTATACTTGAACAAACCACTATCAAGATTTTGTGAATTTGTCCTGCCTAAGCTTTATTAATTCAGGAAAAGCTCGATGTTAGGTACATTTTTCAGAAGTTTATCTTCTCTGTTATTTTAATATACTTAATTGGCACCACATAAATGATTAATTAGGATAATTGCCAATAATGAGATACTTTAGCCTGTATCATTTATTGAAAGGATTTGGGGGCTTCATAAAACTGGAATCCTTCATTGTAGCTATTTGTAGTCCTTTTTTGTTTTTACAAAAATACCCAACAACATTGTACAGCATAATCCTCCTGTTTCTCATTTTTCAAAATGAATTAATGAACAACTGAGTTGAGATTTTAAAACTTCTCTAAGAATAGCGATTCTGAGCTGGGCAAGTGCGATTACCAGAATATGTGTTGTGTGTGTGTGTGTACTTACGCACATATGCACAGGCATGTTGTTTTTATTCAGTTTTATAGTTTTCTATTTGGAGACATATTCCTTTGAAATACAAACCATAGAAAACACAGCCTTTTAAAAATTTTCTAAACTGGTGGGGTAAAAAACTTTGAGAAACACTAACAAACTAAGTCAATTTATTATCAACATAGAAATATTAAAAGTGAAATGTACTGTATCCAGAGTGCATTATATTTTTTAAAGGTTCTACTATTCCAAATATATTGAGTTCTAGTTGATATATAACAGTCAAGTAATTTTCAAATTGATACAATTCTGAAAGACATACAATCTTAAGTTAAATAAATATTCAACTGGTAGAAATTGCAAATAATTTCAACAATAATTTTTAAGTCCTTACAATGGAACAGTCAGCATCTTCTCTCTCAAGGGAAGAATTTACAGCTCTGGGCCACAAGGATTGCTAAGGGAGCAACGCTTACTTAACCATGACTTGTGTATCTTAGAGACTGAAAATCAGGAAGTGTGGACATCAGTATTTCATGACCTTGACATTTCATTACACACAAGAAAAAGAAGAGGCACTTTCGAGAAGTTATGGCCACTGCCAACTTCCTGGTTTCTTCGTCCAACAAGGAACATTTAGACATCTCCAAAATATTCTGGTAAAATGCTAGGAAAACATCACGTATGCAGCAGATACTTCTTCCCAGCCCATCTATTTTTATGGTTCCTGGTGTGAAACTTTATAGTTATTTCTCAAAAATTACGGTGATCTATAAAAATAACTGTAAAGAAAACCTCCACAATATCTGTAGTAACCCCTGGTTTGGTGCTTATGTAATTATTAAAATACATATTTGGTTTCTCCTGGAGAAGAAATGTGTGAACAGTTTTGTATTCTTGAGCCCACCTTTACAGATTCTAAACACATAAAAATATATTTATAGACTGTGTCATATGTCATTTCTTTCCCTTAAAAGGAATTTTACATGCAAAGATTATGTCATTTGAAACATTAGCCATTTCGAATTTCTTCTTACATTTTTCCCTTTCTGGAATAGTTAAGTAAAAGCCCCACCAAGTTCCAGTTTCATTTACCAAATATTGTCTTTTATGCCAGGCATCTTCCTACTTAACATGTCCCGAGAATCTAACTCCTTCATATCTAATCATCGCCACTGCTAGATCTTAGTTTAGGCCCTCCTCTTGCCTGAGCTATGGCACTGTTTCTCACTGGGTCTGTCTGCTTACAGTAGTTCATCTGTGGTCCATATTCCTCTATATTGTCGGAGTAATTGTTCTAAATATAAATGTGATTCTGTCACCGCTTCAACCCTGTTGTCAAGTCTTACAGTGGCTCCCCGTTGTTTTGGAGTTAAAGTACAAATGCATCTCTTTTTTGTGTCTCCAAACCTCATTTCTTGAGAGCACTCAGTGTGCAGCTGTACCCAGCTACACTGCTCCATCCTTCCCTGTTTGCACCTTCTGTTCTCCCTGCTTGCAAGTCATTTCCCTTTACTCCAGTGCCACACATTTAAAGCATCTCTTCCTCCAAGAAGCCTCCATTATCCACCAAGCAGAGATCCCTACTTTTTCTGTGTTCCCACCTTATCTTGCATATACCTTTATGTATGTTTGCATCAGCTTTATTGAAATATAATTCACACACCATACAATTCACCAATTTAACATGTACAGTCCCATGGGTTT